GGGGGCAGTTAGGAGCGACCAGGCCAGCAGGGAGGGGGTAGTTGGGGGTGACCAGGCCATCAGGGGGGGAAGTTAGGGGTGATCAGGCTGGAAGGCAGGTGAGCAATTAGGAGCCAGCGGTCCAGGAATGTGAGAGGGATGTCCAACTGCCAGTTTAGGCCCAATCCCAGGGATCAGGCCTGAACCAGCAGTTGGACATCTCCTGAGGGGTCATGGATTGGAGAGGGTGCAGGCTGGGCTGAGGGGACCCTCTCCCCCTGTGCACGAATTTCATGCACCGGGCCTCTAGTGAAAGAAATAAAAAAACCTAAGTAAAGGGAGAGACATACATGTCCATACCATGGCAATGAACTGGAAAACCCACGTAGTGAAGATGTCAATTCCTCCAAATGTATATACAGGTTTAACACAATCTCTATCAAAACCAAGATTTATTTGTAGCTACAGATAAAATTATTTAAAAATTTATATGGAAAGTATGGGCCCTGTAATATTTAAAGCAATCTTGCCATGGAATATTAAAGTGGGAAGAATAATTCTGATAAAAATCCTTACTATATAGCTATAGTAATCAAGACAGTGTGGTTTGACAGAGGGATAAACACATACAGCAATGGAGCCAAATAAACAACCTAGAAATATACCCAACCCAATCTACTCAACTGATTTGTGAAGAAATTGCACAAGCAATTTAACAGAGGAAGGACAGTATTTTTAAAAATTGTGCTGGCGGAATCAGACATTTACTAGTAACAAAAATGAAGCTCAACCTAAACTTAATACCTTATACAAAAATTAACTCAAAATGGAGCATGGGTATAAATCTAAAACTATAAAATATTTTAATGGGAAATTGCTTCAGGATTTATGTTAGTGGAAGGCTTCTAAATGTAACACTAAAGATATGATCCATTTTTTTAAAATGATAAATTGGACTACTAGTATATAAAAATTCAAAATATTTCCTCTGTGAAAGACCCAGTTAAGAATATGAAAAGACAAGCTGCAGCCTTGGAGACGATATTTGCAAACCATATAACTGACAAAGGACTCATATCTGCAATATATAAAGAACTCTAAAAATCCAACAATAAAAAATCAGTCTAATTTGAAAATAGTCAAAAGACATGAACAGACATTTCACTGAATAGGATACATAGATGTTTAATAAGTAAATTATAAGGTGTTCAACATCATTAGCCATTAGGGAATTACAAATTAAAACACAATGAATTATTGCTAACCACCTATCAGAATGTCTAAAATAAAAAATAATGACAATACCAAATGCTTTCAATGGACAAGAAACTGGATCTCTTATCCATTGCTGGTGGGAATGTAAAGTGTCACAGCCATTTTGGAAAACAGTTTGGAACTTTATTTAAACACTAAACATTCAACTACCCTATGACCCATAAATTACATTCCCAAGCATTTATCCCAGAAAATTAAAAAATTACATACACATAGAAACCTGTAAATGAATGCTCATAGCACATTACTGAAATAGAAAAAAAAACTGAAAATGATCAAAATGTCCCTCAAGCCTGGCTGGCATGGCTGAGTAATTGAGCATTGATCTATGGACCAGGAGGTCATGGTACAAGTCCCAGTCAGGGCACATGCCCAGGTTGCAGGCTCGATTCCCAGTAGGGGGCATCAGGAGGCAGCTGATCAATGATTCTCTGTCATCATTGACATTTCTCTCTCTCTCTCCCTCTCCCTTCTTCTCTGTCAATAAAAATATATTATATATTTTTAAAAGTCCCTCAGTAGGTCACTAGTTAAACAGTGGTACATCCACACTATGGAATATTATTCAGCTATAACAAAGGAATTAGTCAATCTTAAAAGGTCACCTACTCTATTATTCCATTTTCACATTCTCAACATACAGACTGAAAACTGATTAGTAGTGCCAGGAGTTGGGAATAATTAGAAGGTGAAAGTCGTGTGTGATTATAAAATAGTAGCACAAGGAAGATCTTTGTGGTGAAAAAATTGTTTTTTATGTGGATTTTAGTGGTGGTTACATAAATCTACACGTGATGAAATCATTTAGCATTGTACACATATACCAATGCCCATTACCTGGTTTTGATATTATACTACATTTATGTAAGATGTAAACATTGGGAATAACTGGGCGAATGGTATATGGCAGTGGTCGGAAAACTCATTAGTCAACAGAGCCAAATCAACAGTACAATGATTGAAATTTCTTTTGAGGGTCAAATTTTTTAAACTTAAACTATATAGGTAGGTACATTGTTATTAACTTAATTAGGGTACTCCTAAGCTGGCCTTTGCTAAAAACGTCCTCAATCTGATTGAGGCTGAGGTCGACCGCTTCCAACTCTCCCATCCACACTCGTCTTGTATACTTGTTTCAGATAGACGAGTGTGGATGGGAGAGTTGAAAGGGGTCGACCTCAGCGAATGTACCTCAAAACAATGTACCTGCCCCACGCTGCGTATCCCGCGGCCCACCTGCGCCACGTCTCCTGTCGCCCGACCGACCGAAACCCCCCACTTCTTCTAACGCCACTTCTTCAAAATAGACTCTCCCAGGCCGAAAACCGACTTCTGCACATGGGCCATGAAGTTTCAATCGCACTGTGTGTGCCCACACGTGGTATTTTGTGGAAGAGCCACACTCAAGGGGCCAAAGAGCCGCATGTGGCTCACGAGCCGTGGTTTGCCAACCACTGGTATATGGGATCCCTCTGTACTGTTTTTGCAATTTCCTCATTGCAAAACAAATTTTTGGAAGTTAAGTTCCCAATATTTTTTTCTAATTTTAATAAAATTATCAAACCACAGATCCAAGAATCTCAATGAACCCTAAGAATACCTCGGCTCATTATAGTTAAAGAGCTAAAAGTTAATGTTAAGAAAACTTACTGCCTACTCATCAGAAACAATGCATGCCAAAAGGCAATAGAATGACATCTTTAATGTGCTGAAAGAAAAAAAACCATCAATCTACAATTGTAGATGCAGCAAAAGTACTTTTTTAAAAATGAAAGAAAAATGGAGATATTTTTCAAATAAACAAAAGCTGAGAAAATTCATCATAAGAAGACCTAGACCCGTGGTCGGCAAACTGTGGCTCATGAGCCACATGTGGCTCTTTGGCCCCTTGAGTGTGGCTCTTCCACAAAATACCACGTGCGGGCGCGCACGTACAGTGTGATTGAAACTTCCTGACCCATGCACAAAAGTCGGTATTTTGTGGAAGAGCCAGTATTTTGTGGAAGAGCCACACTCAAGGGGCCAAAAAGCCTCATGTGGCTCGCGAGCCGCGGTTTGCCGAGCCGCAGTTTGCCAACCACTGACCTAGACTATCAAAATTATTAAAGAAAAATCTTCAGAGTGATGAAAACTTAGATTGAAACTTGGGTCTACACAAAGAAATGAAGAACATCATAACAACAAATATGTAGATAAATATAAAATGTTTTTCTTATTTTTCAATTTCTTTGTGAAATTACAGATTACTCAAAGCAGAAGTAATAATAATGTAATATAGGATTTACAGCATGTAGAAATAAAATGTATCACAACAACAGCACAAAGAATGGTAGGTAAATGTTGATATGATGTTATGGGTCCTTAACCAATGGACACAGACACCAGGGGCTGAGGGCATG